GATAGATAGATAGATAGATAGATAGATAGATAGATAGATAGATAGATAGATAGAAGATAGATAGATAGATAGAGGCTGACCTAGACCTGTCTATTTTAACTTGATTTTAGTGATCATACATACATACATACATACATACATGAATACATGCATACACACACACACACACACACACACACACACACACACACACAGGGATATAGGCAGATACCCTATACCCTTGTTCCTATTTTAAATATAAATAAGAGAACTTTTTAAAGACATAAGATGAGTTTACTAAAGCATAATATCATATTTTAGGTTCTTTTCAACAAGTATCCAAATTTATTTGAGGGTGACTCTTGCTGAGACTCCTAGCAGTGGTGGGTATGGAGCCTGAGGTGGCCACCTCTTGTAGCTAGGCAGGACTTTCCAGTGGAGGGATAAGTTTACCAACCTACCCACAAAACCTTTGGCCCAAAATTTGACTTGTCTACAAGAAGTGCAGGAACAGAGATGGAACAGAGACTGAGGGAGCAAACAACCAATGACTGGACCAACTTGAGACCCATCCTGTGGGAAGCACCAATCCCTGACATTTTTAATGGTACCATGTTAAGTTTATATACAGGAGCCACGTGTATTTAAAACCAGTCAGGTCTTGCGGACTGGTTAAAAAGAACTGCATTATTAGCTTTGGGGATTTTTCAGCTTTGTTTTTTGAAACATGGTTTCACTATGTAACTTAGGCTGTCCTTAAACTGCTGTCTTCCTGCCTCAGCCTTCCAAATACTAGAGTTACAGGCAGGCACCATCACACCCAGTGTTAGACATTTTTTAAAAGGTTTACAATCCACAGTAACATCATAAAAACTAGTTGTAAAGTTCTGGTATGTAATTTGGGTGTGTACATGTGGACAATTTAGTAGTTTGTACATAGACACAATTTTTGGCACCAAATAATATGATAAGAGAAGCATTTCAACACATCTGTTAAAAAGAACTGGGTGTGTGAGGGTTTTGGTTTGACCCTAGAACTGGAGAAAAAAAAGAAAGAGAGAGAGAGAGAGAGAGAGAGAGAGAGAGAGAGAGAGAGAGAGAGAGAGAGA